TAACATGTAGTGATATAAACTTGCACTACCTATAAATAAATCATCAAGAGGAATAGGTCAAAATTCATTGTATTCAGCCCTTTTTAAGTTCCTCCTTCCTTTTTAAGGGCCTCCCTTCAGTACTAGGGTGATCAGGCCATAGTCCACCATGCTGGCCAAGTGCGGGTTGGCGGACTTCACATGTCTTTCGAAAACTTGCTAGGCTCTCTTAGACATGCAGGTTTCCTCACGATGTTTTCCTTCACCCGTAAGGCAAGTGGTAATCATGTTGAAAATGATTCGCACATGAAAATATCAGAGGTGCGAGACCTGGGATTTAAACCCGCTTCACTCGGTTTCCCAAGTAAGCGCGTTACCACTGGGCTACCACTGCCCAAATTCGTAACCATAAAGTTTTGATAGATACCATACAGATCGCTCCCTATTAGTCACTCCTTTTGCCTGTACGAACAATGATCTATATATTGAATAGTGGCAATTCACCTCGATCGGATAGCATGCTAATTAGCTTTTATTGTCCAGCCTATAGGGTATTCATTGTAAAATTGCTTATAAACCATTGAGACTCAGGTCACGTAATGGCTTCTGATATACATATATGGCAGTGCATTAGATACCCTATATATTATATGTTATGTAGGCAGTGGTAGCCCAGTGGTGACTAGCTTGCTTAGGAAACCATGTGAAGCGAGTTCAAATCCCGGGTCTCGCACCTCTGATGATACTTTCTTAGATTGGCGCAAATATTTGATATTTCAAATGAAAAACTACGATTTCACATTTTCTCGCGGTTTTATTTTTTAGTTACGAATAATCATTACTAAGGTTTTAGATGTCTCAAGAGTTATTTTATAGTTGTTGAGTAGATATTTAAGTAAATTTCCCTATTCATGACTTAGGGCATTTGGTTAGCCAAATATCTACACATTTAAAAAACAAAATGATTTCTTTAACTAGCTAAAAATTGCAGTTTTAAAGGAAAACGTAATGTAAATAAATATATATTCTATGATATTGGACTATAGTCCAAAGATTATAGCCTGACCTATTTCGTATTGAAAGGAGGCCCGTGCCCACCAGTAGGACGTTAAAAAGGCTGAATACAAATATATTACACCAACACCTGGTTTATATCAACTTCCGTTAAGTACCTTTTTAAGGTAGTAACATTTTATAGTATAAAAAATCTATTATTATCTATAATAATGATAACAGAACAAAATGAACAAGGCTCATATTAGGCTCATATTGTGAAAATATGTAGCGCATATACAAATTTTAAATAGGTATACAAAAGATGTCAATCAAAGATAAAAAAATTACGTTTTTAATGCACACGTACAATGTTTTGGTGAACGCAAACGTACCATAAAAACTCTTTATATTACACCCAATTGGCTTATTTATTACTAGCATTGCCCGCGGCTCCGCCCGCGTTCAGATTACCAAAAACCAAATTCTTAGGTTTTACAAATTAGAATACTCTTACATTGCAGTTTTTGTATTTTTTTCTCAGAAATGAGACATTTTCCCGCGGTAAAAAGTATCCTATATGTTGACTCGGATAACCAGTTATCACCATATCAAATTTCATCAAAATCCCTTCAGTGGTTTTTCTGTGATGCGGTAACAGACAGATAAACAGACAGACAATAATTCTAAAAACTATAGATTCGGCCTCTGTATCGATAATAAAGTCTATTTCAATAAGATTTTCCAAAAAATATTTAAAGCACAGATTCTGCTTAGTTACAATTTTATTATATGTATAGATTATAAATGCAGACTAAATATTTTAAAATGTTTGCAAGAGAATAAATTGTGTGAAATTTTAATACATACGTGTTCGCTGGACCGCTCCGCTGTGATGAAATCACGGTCACGTATTTACTGTAATGCTACGTGTTGTAATTTCGTAAATCAATTTATTTTGTTTTCTTCTATTGGTATTTTAACTTATAATCTATACAAATAAATAAAATTACAATGTCTGTTTGTAATATCAAAAAAAAAACAGATTTCCAGGCACTAAAATGTAAAAAATAACTAAACGAGGGTTTTCATTTAGAATAGATACCGAATCAGATATTTTCGTAGTCGGTACCAGCCGAGAATATTTTAAGATATGAATATCTAATAGGTAAATATGACGAGGTATGAACTCTTATTATAGTTTAAATATTATGTTTCAATTTGCAATATATTTATGCATATCAAAATTGTGTTAACTTAAATGTAATTTGTAAGAAGAAAGTTTTTTAATAACATATTCGATTAAGCCATTTATGTTAGTAGTGCCAAATTTTATATAAAGACAAACATACACAAATACTCACTTTTATTAGTAACACTAAAAATCAAGCTCTAAAATCCAATTCTAACCAAAATATAAGCTCTAAAATCCAATTCTAACCAAAATATAAGCTCAAACTCAAAGTATTTACTAATAGCCGTTGAAGTGTTCCACTACCTACTATATTATCGGTATTACAAACACTTGTAAAGCTTAAAGTCGATTGACAATTAAAAGTAGTTCAAAACAAAGATTCTAACGAATTAAGAACCCCCTTTTTGGAAGTCGGTCAAAAAGTCTAATTAAATCTGTTAACATACTTGAAATTTCTTGGTTTTTCCTGATTTTCTCAAAAACGATACAGTCTATGTCAAAGAAAATTTTTATGGTGGTCCCATCGGAACCTATCTTAATACAATACCGTTTAAAGTAGCAACATCAGTTGGGCCTCCCTTCAATACGAGCATAATTCACATATCTTACGAAAACTTGCTAGGTTCTCTCAGACATGCAGGTTTCCTCACGATGTTTTCTTTCACCGTAAGACAAGTGGTAATCATTGGTTAGAAATGAATCGCACATGACAATATCAGACGTGCGACATCCGGGATTTGAACCCGCTTCACTCGGTTACCCAAGCGAGCGCGTTACCTGGGCTACCACTACCTTGTTTTTCTTATATATAAATATTAATCGAGTCTGTGGGTAAATAGAGTTTGTAAATCAAAGGCATTTCATAATAACATCCTTTTGAAACTTATTAAGGCTCAGCGAATTTCGTTGTAAAGATAATTCATCTGCCAAAGATGTTATGAAGTTGTGAGAACTTTATTTGTAATTAGTATGGTTTTGTGGTTCGTCGTCTATTTTGTAAATTAGCTTTTCGATAAATATCTGAATTAGTTATAAGTTAATGAAGTACATTTTATTATGTGATTAATATAAATAAAATATACATACAAAAATTACATAAACTGGTCTATTTTGGCTGTGTATCTTATATAAATATATGTAAGATACGAGGCTGGTGTTATGGATACCAGATAGTTGATACACTACACATATATAACTTTAATTACATACATATTATAAATATAAACACCCATGATTGGAGTACACGCATCTGTGCTCATCAAACAAATGAATACTCCCAGCGGGACTCGAACTCGCGAACGCTGGCACAGCCAGTAAGGTCACTACAAATTGAGCCAAACGTGTCGTTAGATAATTTATGTAAGTATTTACATTTGTTCCAAAAACCCAATCTCAGCTAATTCCTACACTCTATAAAGATTCTCAGTATCAATATCTATGTTTCTTACTTTTGAAACGAACAAATTTCTAATTTTCTCATCATCCCCTATTTTTCATTCCGTGAGAATATCGCAAAGATATTTTCAATTTTGGTTACTTTAATATTAACAGATTTTCATACACACTTCCAAACCGTTTTTTAACACCTTTAGGTTTTAAATTTGAAAAAAATCTTGCGAATACCTAGTCCCTTTAAAGAATCTGCTTGCTACAGTTCAAAGTAGCACTTCTACGTTCTAAAGCCCCATCTACGAGCGATGATGTATCAAGAAATAGACACGTTTTCAAATCGCGACAGCAATAACTAAAACCTACATGAAAAAATAATAAACCAAAAGTTTACTCACCAGATTCTCGTGCATTCCACTTAGTTCGGTGCACTTTAGTTGTTCGAAACGAAACAGTATGATATAAAGAGGTTCAATTTTGTTGGATGATTCCTCTTCAATGATACATCAACGTCAATCTACCCTAATTAGATTCTTACTAACTTTTGAATTTACCCTAAACACTAAATTTTTGTTAATGTTGCTAGCAAGAAAATGAAAATATGTCATCAAATTATTATTTTTTTTTTATTTTTATATTATTGCGACATTATTTCTATATTATCTATACAAACAATATCGCGTTTTACTAGCTTAAACACCGAACCCAAGCCACTGATGATGAAAATTTGAAATTTGTATAGGTATCTTACTGTAGGCATCATTTGAGAAAAGTATTGACTAAACCGTACCTTATCTTCGAACTTATGTTTTATTAATCGATTCAGCTGTTTGTTTCATACATTATTTTGTTTTACTTTATTTTTCATTTTCGCTTAGATACTATTTTTTATTTAATCATTGCAAGAAATATCGCAGAGAGGTCGAGCCTTTTAATTTCCACGAGTACTTTTTTATTATTTATTTCAATTCATAATAATTTTATTTTAATATAATAATATTTTCATTATAATGGATTAAAATTTAAAAATCCTAAAAAATATATATTAAAACTAATTATTGTAGCAGCGCCATCTGCCATGTTCTTTATAAACAAATAAAAGCGCTTACTTAATAATAGTTTCGCGTTATAATACTAGATGGCGGTAGGAGTTAGCATAGCGGTACTTAGGATCACGTTTTGGACGCGTAAAGAATGCCACAGTTCGGTAATGGCCGCCGACGAGGTGGTCTGCTTGTGAAATTAGTGCGTCGTGTGTTGATTTGTTGTTTACTTTATTTACATCCACATTGTTATCATTATAATCATTGTGACAAGTGTTATTTATCTAAATCTATTACTACAAAGTTTAAACGTAACGAGTGAGTTGATTAAAGTGCATTCACGTAGCATTGAAATGGGAAAGCATCGTCCGGTGTAGTGTAGTGTTAAATAACCTAGCTAAATGCTGGGATACAGGACTATGTGTAACCGGCAGCACACGCAGGCGTGTCTGAACACGTCCCTGTCCATCAGACAGGAGATACAGAGGTTTGAAAGCGTACATCCATCGATATACGCTTTATACGATCTGGTCGAACTTGTTCCTGATCCCTTGCTGGCTCAACAGATTCGAGATCACGTCGTAGCAATAGAAGGTAGGTAGTATAGTGAAGTTAGCCGCTTGTTTACCTTCGTTTCTAAGGCAACTGGTTTGTTGATAAACGCTGGATAACCTATTTATCGATTCAAAAACAGTTAAATTAATGTTTATATTATATACAAAATATCGATGATTTCAACGATTAATTAATCGATTTTATAATTAAATATTCGAATGCATAAAACGTTTCGATCGTTAATTATTTCTCATTTGCGTATTTGGATCGATCACTATTTTAATGATTTAATTTTTATTTATTTGGAACACATTGGCCTGAATAGTGCAATTTGTTTTTGTTATTTTGTGACATTTTTATTGAATATAAGATTAATTTTATTGCCCATAAAATAACTTATGAGAAAAACGGAGCGTAAAAAGTTGATCATCTTGAGTCTTTTACAGCAAGTCGCTTGTACGGTTAATATAACTGTTGCTAAGGCGAAACACTGTTTAAACTCTGGTAATCCATATGTCGATTATAAATAATCTTATGAGAAATTAATCAATTAATGACAGGAATTTCATTATCTACCTATACATTTCATTCAAATTTCTTCTATATTATTTTTTTCCACACTAGTAACTCACCCTCACTCCGCTCAGGTACGTCCCTAAGTACGTTTAACGGTTAATGTAGGTTTCTCAGAGATGTGATTTTCCCGCAGTAAAAACCTATATGTTGACCCGGATAACCATACTATCATCATACCAAATTTCATCAAAATCTGTCCAGTGGTTTTCTCGTTATGCATTCCTAGAGAGACATATAAATAAAAATTCTAAAAAACTATAGATTCGGCTTCTGTATCGATAATAATGATTATTTCAATAAGATTTTCCAAAAAAAATATATTTAATGTACAGATTCAACTCAGCAAATTTATTATTACGAGTATATGTATCTATAGATAGATTTAAAGTATACAATATTCTAATGCAACGAAACGTGCGAATTATTTTGCACACGATAACATAAAACATTCTTTTTAAATCAGCTATAGTATACATCCTTCCATCGAATTCTATTGCAGAGAATTCTTAGTCTTCGTAGTCCAGTAGGTAATTACTAGCGTTGTCTACAGCTGTCTACTCATAAAAAATCTGCACTAATATAATAAAGAGAAAGAGTTTGTTTCTTTGTTCGTTTGAACGCGCTAATCGCAGGAACTACTAATCCGATTTGAAAAATTCTTTTTGCATTATATAGCCAGTTTATTGAGGAAGGTTATAGGCTATATATCATCATGCTACTACTACCTAAGAGAGCGAAGCAGTAATTCACACATAACAACAAATCGGACAGACTTCCATATAGGTATTATCGTAATCTATTCCCATGAACGAGTTGTCTCTAATTCGTTCATGTCTATTCCATACTATTACTGTTAAAACGTATCGCTAGACTATACATATAATAAAATTGTAACTAAGTAAGTATAAGTCGAATCTGTACATTAAATATTTTTTGGAAAATATTAATAAAATAAACATTATTATCGATACAGAGGCCGAATCTATAGTTTTTAGAATTTTTGTCTGTCTGTCAGTCTGTTTGTTACCGCATCACGAGAAATGCACTGGACAGATTTTGATGAAATTTGGTATGATGATAGCTGGATATCCGGGTCAACATATAGGATACTTTTTACCGCGGGAAAATGTCTCATTTATGAGAAAAAATACAAAAGCTGCATTGTAAGAGTATACTGATATGTTAAACCTAAGAATTTGGTTTTTGGTTATCTGAACGCGGGCGGAGCCGCGGGCAATGATAGTAAAAAATAATTTTGATGAAAAGTAAAACGGCATCGAAGTACCTACCTTATAATTTTAAAACAATTGCTTCGGCGAGTAATCTAAGAATGTATTTTAGCCACCTTATATATTGATATCATATGGCATAACCATGTGATAAGGAGTGTCAAACTACGATTAAAATTTCATTTTGACACGTAAGTACTTGTAAGTACATATCTTTGAAGTTAAATAAAACCTGCTTTTGTCATATAGCTTTGAAACTTGTGAACCGCTGGTCTATATTAAATTATTTATAAGTAGGTACGTACTACATAAAAAAAAACCGATTAACTCGAATACTTATAAAATGTAACTAGAAAGTAAATACATATCGAAGCTCACATTTATTTCTTCATTCATTTATAATAATTAAAATGGCTTTATAATATTATTTCTAATCAAATTAAAAAAAAAAAAGAACAAGTGAATAAACAACACGCACGATCATGACACTGATGTTTTTTGTAGAGTTCATTATCTATAGGCAATTGGAGCGAAAATTTCTGCTTTATTACTAGACGACTTGTGGACCCGGAAGGCAGACGTCCTGCCACAGAACGTTTTAGGACTGTTTCGTCGCCCAATAAGTACAGTTTTTTTAATATTATGTATTTTAATATTATCTATAGGTAGTATGTACCTATAGATAATATTAAAATAAATAAGATTGAAATATTTGTTTGTAATGTCAAAATATAAATACGGTAGGTACTGAAAATAAAAACAAATTTTAAAATGTTTGTCGGTGTGTTTGTTTCGGCTAATCTCCGAAACGGCTGGAGCGATTTTGACGGGACTTTCACTGGCAGGTAGCTCATGTTTCAAGGAGTAACTTAGGCTACTTTTATTTTAGAAAAAGAATTAGGGTTCCGCGCAAATAAATTATAACCCATGAAATTGTGAATAAAATCCGTGTATTTCGAGGGACGCACTCGAGCGAAGCGAGGGCAAGTCGGTAGTATATAATATTATTATACAAAGATAATCATAATTAGCGTTAGTTGTTAGTTTTCTAGCTTATTCCCTCTCAGGTCTAAACTTTACGCAGAAAACAGGTTGAATCTAATTCCATTGCTGTATACAATTATTACATACTCCTACATCCAAAACTATTTTTATTATTATACTAGCATTGCCCGCGTCTCCGCGCGCGTTCAGATGACCTACAACCAAATTCTTAGGTTTTACATCTTAGTATACTCTTATAATGCAGTTTTTGTATTTTTTCTCAGAAATGAGATATTTTCCCGCGGTAGAAAGTATCCTATATGATAACCCGGATAACCAACTATCACAATACCAAATTTCATCTCTCCAGTGGTTTTTCTATGATGCGGTAACAGACAGACAGACAAAAATTCTAAAACCTATACATTCGGCCTCTGTATCGATAATAATGTTTATTTCAATAACATTTTCCAAAAAATATTTAATGTACAGATTCGGCTTAGTTACAATTTTATTATATGTATAGAATATAGGATATTATGTAAGGATCCATGTGCAATGTACATTCTACCGTATTGGAACTGGCCATAACAAAGTTTATATCAGAATTCATTGTAGTAAAATCTCAAGTTATGTTCGAACGTTTGTAAATTGCGCAACAATTTAACTAAAGTGACTGATCGAGTCTTGCGTGAAGGGTTCCGTATATGTGTAAATTTCAGAGTCATCGTTATATTTTTTTCGAGTAAAATTTTAAGGAAAGGTTCAGTAGATGAATAAAAGAAGGGGTTAATACCAATTTTTTATTTTCTTCAACATATTTTAATAATCACCAATCAGAACTTCCGGTTATGGGATTCAGGGAGGGACAAATATTTAATATTGATATGAGGATTTTTTTAGTTTTATATGCGACTAGGCTTGGGACTTGGGAGTAATTATAAACTTATTCATACAAAAAAAAACGGTTCAGGATCGACAGACATATCGGGTAGTATTATACCTACGTGACACAAAAAACATCCGAATTGAATTTAGAAGATAATTTTTGAAATTTGTTCAAAAAACAAGCTGTTACGGACGAACAGTCACACTCATCGATTTTTCGTATAAGGATTACGATTTTTCATAGCATTAAAAGAACCCTACAATGAATAAATTGTACGCACGAACTTGACATTAAAATTGTTCGTGGATAGTTGTCTGTCAGACAAATGGAGCGAAAAGTTCTGCTTAATAAACGCAAATAACTAAGTGGGCTCATTGTATTATGTAGGTAGTCAGTAGGTTCATACTTTTGTTTCTAACCATTGTTGTGTTGGTCTTCCGGTGTGTTTAGTGATTTTTTGTTGTGTTTTTTAAACATTGCCGTTGTATTTTGAATGATTTTCACTCGAAGGACCTGTATTTGAAATTGCTAGAATTTTTAAATTGTGGTACATTTCTAATATGCATCTTTTTTGTTGTTTTCTTTAAATATCTGTACTTAAATGTAAAATTTTGGTTTGAAAGTTTAATATCATGGCGTAGGCATCTATCCGCTAAGAACGAATTTTCGAAAATTCATCACATGCAGGGATGAAACGGGGTAGCAAAATTAGTATGGGGAAATCATAAAATAGTGATGTAACAATTCGGAAATTCGCAGGATTACTCCTGTCGACAAATAAATTAAAACGCGTGCTTCGTGCTTTTTAAAAAGCAACCCCTGCAGGGGGTGAAAAGAGATAAATAAAAATGTCCTTGAGTGAGTTGATTGAATGCATCTTTCTAATAAAAAAATATACTTTTTAACTTTCGCACAATAACGTGACAATTTATTTTTGCTTTTTAAAAATAATATTTTCTCTAACATCAAGACATAACTATATTTTGTGTAATAAATATTTCTTCAAGACGTAGACATTTTGTGGGGAAAAATAATTATTAAAAGTTTTATAATAAGAAGTGCAAGGCGTGATTCAGTGTTCACTCATCCAAGAATATAACGACATCCGGTACAAGGTATGACTGAAAACTATAAAAATATCGTGAAGGGGGTTTTTTTTAGTTGATAATTTTATAGATTTTAGTTATATTGTAAGAAGAAAATGTTCTTATTACAACTGTTCATGATATTTAAAAATTAAAATATGATTTCTCCAAAGTTTAAGTAAAGATTAATATTATTTTTAAATTTTACTATATTATACGTTTAAATTTAGTCACGCTGTTGTAATTCGTTTATTTATATATGGTAACACATGGCATTTCAG